AGTTGATGGCGTGCTCCACCCACGGTATGTTGTGTGACCATTTGGCGGGATCAGCTTCAGGTAGGATACGAAGCTTGGTCTAACCTTCTAAGTTAACCCTCTCAGATTGTCCATCAGACTGAGGGTGAAAACCTGAAGACAGACTGATGGAGACAACCAACATACAGCAGAACTCTTTCAATAACAAGAAATGAACTGAGGACCTTTGTCGAAGAAAAATGTCAGTGGGGAGACCATGGAGGCGGAAAACCTCACGTGCCAAAATTTCCCCTATCTCTTTGGCTGGGGGGAGCTTCTCCAGAGGAACCAGGTGGACCATCTTTGAGAACCTGTCAACGACAGTGAGAATGATGGAGGCAAGCCTGTGCCGAAGTCCATGGCGAGATGAGACCAAGAGCATGACGGGATGGGTAGAGGTCGCAGCAACTCCAGGGTGGGCGTCTTGAGGACTTTACTTTATTGCACTGATGACAGGACGAGATGAACTCTTTGACATCTTTAGTCAGGGAACACCACCAAAACTGAGACTGGGCCATCTGTAGGGTCTTATTGATTCCAGGATGACAAAAAAGGGGTGATTTATGGCAGAACATGAGTACCCTCTGGACAAGGTGGTCCGGAACGGACAAGCGATCTCCAGGGCATGCATCCGGGGGTGGAAGATCCTGGGTGGCGTCCCTGAACTCTCTCTCAAGATCTAGCATGTTGACAGAAAGTCTTACGGCCTCCGGAAGGACAAAATCCTCCACACCACTGGTCTTGGCGTCAGACTTTTCACAGATTTTGGAGAGAGCATCAGGTTTAACGTTCTTGGTCCCAGGTCTGTAGCACAAGGAGAAGTTAAAACGTCCAAAAATTAGTGACCACCTGGCTTGTCGGGGGTTGAGTCTCTTAGCAGACCTGAGATACTCCAAATTTTTATGATCGGTCCAAACAATGAATGTTCCTTAGCTCGCTCTAGCCAGTGTCTCCACTCCTCCAAGGTGAGCTTAACAGCAAGAGGTTCTCGATCTCCAATATCATAGTTTTGTTCAACTGTGGAGACCGTCTTAGAGAAAAAAGCGCAAGGGTGAACACAGCCATCAGTAGATCTTGGACTAAGAATAGCGCCCACCCCAGTGTTAGAGGCGTCAACCTCCACGATGAACTGCTTCTCAGGGTCAGGGGTGCGGAGCAGTAGTGAACAGAGACTTTAATCTAGTGAAGGCTTTCTCAGCCTGATCGTTCCACACAAACCGTTCTTTAGATGAGGTGAGTGCATGGAGGGGAGATGTCACCTGGCTATAATTTCGGATAAACCGACGGTAAAAGTTAGCGAAGCCCAGAAACCTCTGTAGCTGCTTACGGTCAGATAGAGTGGGCCACTCTGACACAGCTGTGGTTTTAGAGGGGTCCATAGTGACCTGATCAGGAGAGATGACAAAACCTAGAAAGGAAGTTGAAGAGGTGTAAAATTCATACTTCTCCGCCTTAACAAACAGGTGATTTTGGAGCAGGTGGCAAGGACATAGAGTTTGTGGGTTGGTGAAAAGATTAGAATGTCATCGAGGTATACATGTATAAAATGTCTCACCATGTCTCTGAGGGCATCATTAGTCAGCGCCTGAAACACAGCTGGGGCATTGGTCAGCCCGAAAGGCATGACCAAATATTCATAATGTCCAGTAGGAGTGTTGAAAGCGGTTTTCCACTTGTCCCCCTCTTGTATTCAATGGGTAATTGAGGGGATCGGATGATAATTAAAGTAATCCTCTCACAATGATTTCCCCCAAGAGAAAAACTGATGCTTTCAGTGACTTGGCTGGTGTGGGATAGGTGGTGTCCGTCCAAAGCAAAGACATTGGGCGAGGACGAGGCAGGACAGAACTTGATAACGAGCTTCTTGGCGAACAACTTGTCCATAAATTCTGTGTCGGCTCCAGATTTAATGAAGATGGACACCTGATGAGAAATGGAGGAAACCACAAGGTTAGCCGGAAAAGAGTTCAGGGAGGTATGACTGGAAACTCTACTCTTGCTTAGCAGAGAACCTCTCAAATCTTTCTTAGTACATTCTGTGACCCTGTGTCCCTTCTCTCCACAATAAAAACACAGGTTGAACTGTCTTCTCTGAATGCGTTCTGGTTCTGATAGTCAGGTGTGGCCCAACTGCATGGGTTCAGGAGCAGAAGAATTCTCATGGGGTGCTGAAACACCTCCCTCAGGCACATGGGGAGCAGACCATCTGGAAGGTCCTGCCTGAACCCCCCTATGACCTCTCTCCCTTCTCCTTTCAGTGAGCTGAAGGTCAATGCGGGTGGCTAGATCCTCTAGCTTCTTTAAGGACTTGGGATAGTCGCGGGTGGCAAGTTTGTCCTTGATTTCGTCCTTGAGACCTTGCATGAATACATCCATAGGGGCCTCCTGATTCCACTGACTATCTGTAGCCAACAAATGAAAATCAGTGATATACTGGGCAACACTATGATTTCCTTGCTTGAGAGATAGCAGTCCCCTAGCTGCTTCTCGTTCGGGCAGAACAGGGCCAAAAACCCTAATGAGTTCTTTGGCAAATGCTGCATAAGAGTTGCATGAGGCATTCTGCAATTCTGCAGTGCTCCATTACTTTGCTCTGCCTGCTAACAGTGAGATCACAAATGCCACCTTAGATCTTTCTGAGGGAAATGACGATGGCTGAAGCTCAAAATGAATCTCACACTGGGTCAGGAAAGCTCTGCACTGATAATGATCGCCTCTGAACAGTTCAGGAGGAGTCAGACGGGGCTCTCTAGTGGGAGTACTGCAAGCCGAGAGGGAGGCTCTAAGGGCGGTGGAGTCTGGAGAGCACTGGAAGAAGAAGTTATGTAACATGCCCAGAATTTCATTCATGCCGGCATCAAGTCTGGTGATTGAATTCTCGACACAGAGTCGCCACTGTTGTGCCAGCAAAGGGTCCATTTTGGACAGATTTTACTGTAAAGGATTACTCTGAGGACCCGAAATTTCAGTCAGACACAAAAGATAAGATTCAAAAAGTTTATTAAAAGCTCTGGAAGCCGTCAGGCAGGAAACCACCAGCGGCAGACTCAGGAACCTCTGAAGGCAGAGAGGTTGGTTAGTGGTTGAGCAGAGAACTAAGAGTGAAACTCAGGGAAAAAGCCACTAACCTTGTCAGAATCCGTAATGGAATCAGAAAGAGTTCTGGTTCCTCAGAGTGTAGATGGGGTAAGAGCTGGAAAGCTCCCACAGGTTCTCAGAGTTATAAACCCGATGACTGAGCAGGATGCGGTGGTCAGGGGACAGAAACTGGGTCAGAGCAGATAACGGCAGCAGGATCCGAGGGCGAAGCTTATATCTTTGTCCGGGGTACAGAAACGAAATAATGCACGGGAAGGCAGATACAGGCTGACAGATCCAGGGGTTAGGCAGAGAGGTTGGTCAGGAGGTAGAAGCAACGTCGTAGTCCAGAAAACAGAGGCCAGTGAGGTATCCCACAAGGGCAGGGCAGAGCAGAGAAATCCATGAGGCAAAAACGAGATCAGATCAGGGAGACAGGCAAGGAAGGAACGCTGGACACTACTAACACACATGCTTTCGAAAATCTGGCGCTATTTCTCTGTAGGCGTTGTTGTGATTATGAATATAAATATATTATTTAATATTAATACCTTAATATTTTATTAAATAATATTTCTGTCTGTTAAGGGTTGTCCTGTGAATATCAGCCCAATAAGGCGTTGGTATTAGGAAAAAATTGAAAGGTATGAGCCAAGCTCTGGCATTATTGAACAGCAAAACTTTGTACACACACAGAATGAATTCACACAATTTCTTAAAATACAAGAATTTATTAACAGAAATATGTCAACTCAAAGTCAAACATATTTCAATCAGCAAACTCCTTACTATGCTAAAACAACCCGACTAAACTACCAAGCAGAATAAAAGAATAAGGAAGACTAATGGGCTATGTACAATATAAACAAATGAATCAAAGATAGTTGAAAACCATGACCAAAAGAGTGATGCAATATTATCATGCAATATTTATGTTTGAGAACCAAGGATTATCTTGAAGAATCTGGAAATTAAGTTAAGTTAGTCTTGGAACCAACTTAGTCAATAATTGGTATACCTTTAAACAACCATTCACAATGCAAGATCAGTCAGTCAGTCAGTCAGTCGGTCATTTTCTACCGCTTATTCCATAGTGGGTCGCGGGGGAGCTGGTGCCTATCACAAGATCAGATAAAACATTTTGAGAAAACATTTTTAAAAATTTGCTGTTTAAAATCAACCTTCTGGATGACAAATTCTCAACCGCGTTTAATTAGTTGCCTTTATTTATTGAAATAGTATTTATGGAAACATTAAGCAAATATTAAAATAATATTTAAGGAAATATTATTTTGACTAAGAACCAAATCTTTCTGGATAAATAGGTCTTAATGGTGTTTACTTAGTTATTATATTAAATATTATTTCCTAGATTGAAACCAACAACCTTTTTAGGTAAATGACCTTTAGCTGACTTATAGTAGGCAAGTACATGTTCTTAGCTGTTAGCGGTTGAGGCACTAAGATAGTTCTCAAACAACTAACCAAACGTCATAAAATGAAAAATGTTTAGATTATTTCATTCTAAGCTACTCTTCTCTGCCCAAACATTACCTCTTATGTGAACCGTGCTGAGGAGAAGTTTTCCGGGGCGAATAAGTTGAGGAAAGCATCCACATTGAACAAAGGGTTAACTTGCAGCTAACCTCTGTAGCTGTGGGGTGGGGCGGCTCGTTCTGCTGAGCCAGCTGAACTGCACGTTGCTGCTGTAGCCACGGTGATGCGGTCCCGTTGTCCTTTCTTCAGACCGGGAAAAACTGCTCCACTCTGCGTTGTAGAGACAGGGTCTCTGCTGGTAACTCTCTGGAACACAGTTTGCTTCTGTAGACCTCAGAAAGAAAAGTCAAGCCACGCTTGCACCTTAATTACCCCATTCGTGGATGAATACTGCATGGTGGGCTGCACAGTGGTGCAGTTGGTAGCACTGTTCCCTTACAGCAAGAACGTTCTGGGTTCGACTCCCGGCATGGAGTTTGCGGGTTCTCCCTGTGTACACCGGGTACTCCGGCTACCTCCCTCTATCCAAAGACATGCCTGTTAGGTTAAGTGGTCTCTCTGAATTGCCCTTAGGTGTGTGAATGAATGTGTGTATGGTTGTTTGTGTGTTGCCCCGCGATGGACTGGTGACCTGTCCAGGGTGTACCCCACCTCTTGCCCATAGGAGATAGGCATCAGCTGTTCCCCATGACCTACTATGGAGGAAGCAGGATAGAAAATGACTGACTGACATAAAACAGAATGAATTATTCTTCACTAATTACAAATAGTTAGGAATCAAATGCTGAAGATCTGTATTTAGTTTGCTGTTAATTGTGTCAGTGTTAGAACCAGACAGAAAAAGTACAGAATCATCAGCATACAGAGAGTTTGAGTGATTACGCATGTGAAGAAGGTCGTTGATGTACGTCAGGAAGAGCATAAAGAAGAGCCTCCCTGCGACCCACTATGGGAGAAGCAGTATAGAAAATGACTGACTGAATGAATACCAGATACACAAAGAGCAATTCATTCCTACTTAACTTACATACAACACTCTTGGATCCAATTTGAAGAGTTATGACTGTTTGCCAGCAAAGAGACATTAGCGCGCTGTGTCTCTCCTTCCAGTTCCGCTGTGGACCTGCGTGGAGGAGGTCTGTATGTTGCAAAGCAGGGTTTTTATTCAAACAGTCACATCATGGGAAGTCCACTGTTACTCCTGTTCCTGGCTGTGTTGGAAGTAGGTTAATGCGATGTATTTTGAAAGTTCCAGAAAAGTTCTTAATGGCCTTTAATGTTGTAATCCATGGCTGGGGTCCCAACAGCATGCTGCTTATAAAGCCAGATGCGCAGGTGAAGCGGGTGAGGTCTGATTATGAGCAGGCTGAGAAGGAGCAGGTGAATGTAATCACCGTGGTTAGAGCAGCAGACAGAGATGACACAGACAAACAGCCCAGAATCATGACAGCTCACTGTCAAAAAAAACTCTGGGAATTTTTGATGGCTGCAGGAAATTTTTAAAACCCACTGGCTCATTTCAACATAGCTAGTGGTAATCAGCGAACAGGTGGACCTGATATCACTGAGTAATTATAATCAGCGACTCCGTTTACATGTGCTTGTATAGGGGCAACAAGTAGTGACACAACTCTGCTGTAAAGTTTTCTTTACAAAACATTTAGATACAACCCCATCCCTCCAGGGGTGCACAATGTAAATGTATTGAACGTGAGTGACATGGACAATATGTCATACTTAGTTGCTTTACAAAAAAGTCTGATAAGGAAATATTTTGGAAAAGAGCCAAATCTTTCTGGAGAAATGGGGCTTAATGGTGTTTACTTAGTTATCAGATTTAGTAAAATAATGTTTAGGGACTATTATTCACTAGCTTGAAAACTAAACCTTTCTTTTAAATATTCTGTAGCAGCAAGCAAGTGTTCTTACCGGTTAGCAGTTGAAGCTAACAAAAGAAGCTGATAGCTTAGCACCAGAATCACACACACACCTTGAAAAATACCATCAATAAAAGGGTTAAAATGCATAAGCGCAGACGGCGCGTTATGAGCAATCTTCTGTGTTAAAAATCACCCTTTATATAAAGTTTGTCTTAACTTTAAAAACACACAAACACATAACACAAACTGAGCACGTGTGCTGCAGATAGCCTGCTAGCACTAAGATAGCGGAGTTTCACACAAACAAAACTTCATAAAATGAAAAACGTTTAGATCATTTCATTCTAAATCTTTCTCTGCCCAAAACACCTAACCTCATGAACCGTGGTGAGGAAACGTTGTCCAAGGGGCGAAGTTTGAAGAAATGTTCACAGTCAACAAGCGGTTAGCTTTCAGCTAACCTAAAGAAGCTGTGGGTGGGCGGCCCGTTCTGTCCGCTGACCACACTGGTTAACACGGTGATGAGTCTCCTGTTGTCCTCCTCTCAGGCAAGGAAAACCGCTTCACTCGGCTTGTAAAGACCGCGTCTCTGCTGGGGACTTCTCTGCGACACAGTCTGCTTCTGCAGGCCTCAGAGAGAAAGTAAGCAATGCTTATACCTTAATTTCCCCTCTTTATGAATGAAATCACCAGGTACACAAACAGTGCTTCACTCGTACTTAACTTTGGATATGACCGCATGATCTTATGACATCCTTGGATCCAGTTTGAAGAGTTTATGTCTGCAAAGAGACATTAGCGCGTTTGTCTCCCCTATCCGGTCCCTCTGGAAGGCTGTCTGGAAGAGGTCGGCTTGTTGGAGAGGGGCTGCTCTTATTCAAACAGTGACATCATGGGAAGTCTGCTGCTACCCCCCTTTCCTCATTTGCTGGAAGTCAGTTAAATGCAATTTATTTTGAAAGTTCCAGAAAAGTGTGTACCAGAGTTTTAATGTTGTTTCTATGGCTGGGTCCCAACAATTGCATCAGAGATTAAATGTTGGAGCCCACTGTAGTAGAAGAATAAATTCAAGTCCAAAACCAGAAAGATAATCCTAAATTAACATGCCCACTTTAGCAAAACATTTTGGACAGTTTCAATTAGCATAAATAGCAGAATGAACATGCATAAAACCTTTTGCATAAACTCCGGGTAACAGCCAATGGCAACATGCTGAATATGGCTATACTTGGCCGAAGAGGTTTATTAACAGAGGTTTAAATCTGACCTTTAAAAGTCACCTGATTGGCCTAGGGAACTCGGATTTTAAGGATATACCCCTTGAATAAACCAGAACATTTTTTCTGCTGTTACTTATTACAGTACCTGTCTGGAAGTACATCACTTTATTTTTTTTAAGTCTGTTATTTAAGCTAATACGTTTACCTTAAGAATGTCTTTTGGCTGATGCAATAAAATTGTGTCCACTTCTTTATTACAACTTCCCTATGAAAACTGTTATCTGTTTTTCAAATCTGTGCTTTTGTTTGCATACTATATCACATTTGAAAAATAATAAATAATAATAGAATCTTTGCTCAAGAGGTATGAAAAATCTAGCTTATATCAGACAAAGTATTGGTCATCTGAGAATGTTTCAAGATTTTTATGACAGTTTCTGTGTTTTTAGTGATTTCGCATTATAATAGATGGGTGTCCTCAGAGCAGAGTCCTATCATCTTGAAAAGATACATATTTCCTTAACAGGTAAATTAAAGGCCTATTACAAAGGTCAGAGCAAGTTCAACAGTAAGAGGTGCTAAAAACTCCAACTTCCTGTCAGGCAATGGGGAACTTTGAAGTTCAGAAACAAATTACTTTCCCTAAATCTTTCTTGCAATGCAATTTAAAACAGAACAACTACCTATTAATTCATCACGTTTATTTTTTTTTACTTAAAGACACCAGTTACTGTATGCACCCAGTTACATTTATTAAGACTGATGTCAACACGCTTTCAGTTTTATAATGAACATTCTGTTTCAGATAATGTAAATCAGAATTAATAACTCTATTTACAAAAGCTGCTACTGTAATAAAAAATGCGGTCTGTTCAAAATACCTTACTGTCTGTATTGCACAGAAGAGAGCCCTACGAAAAATCATAATTGGGCTATTGATTATACATAACTCACTTTGTCTGATTATGATTACAGTTTAATATTGACTTTCTATGCACGACGAAGTCACCCTCCTGGTGTCACTCTTGTTGACTTGTATGATCTATGATTCATCAATACCATTGATCCTCCCAAAGTTCATCCATCCATATGTGACTGGCACACCAGTATTTTACATAAAAGAGATTGAGGGGAGGCAATCTGCATGTCAGCAAAATGTCACCATAATTGAGCTTGGCTGATGTTATTGTTCTTTAACGAAGTTCTGACTGTTTTATAAACAGGCCTGGGACAAGACACATCAGTCACAAGGGAGACTGGTAACATTACCAAGGACACAAGCAGCTCTCATTTAAAAGGACCAGCTGATATTCTTTCTGTCTGTGTGTCTGCCTGGGTCTATACATTTTAATATCAAAGATGACCTGCGAAAATAGAGAAAAAGAAGCATTCTTTAGTTTACTGAAAGAAAAAAAGCTGTTCAAACCACCCTCATCTTATGTGAAAAAGTAGCTGTCGATTGGCCCATCTTTAGCCACTCTATCTCCTTTATTTTAGATCTGGACCTGCTGGTGTGCTTTGGATCATTGTCCTTCTCCATAACCAAAGTGCACTTCAGCTCATTGTCACAAAATTGATGTCTGGACATTATCCGTCAAGATTTTCTTGTAGGGAGCAGTGTGTTTGTTTTCAACAATAATGGCCAGTCATTTACTGTAGTATGTTCTGAAGCAGCAAAGCAGTCCCAGACCATCACACTACCACCACCTGTAATGTGTTGTGGTAGAGCTGGATCCATGCACAGAAGAATAGTTCTTGAAGATGAAGAATTATTCAGAAATAACTGTTAATGGAAAAGACCCAAGATGAACTGGAGATGACAAAAAAACTGAGCAGGCAAGACTAGATAAGGACGTTAAAACAGGCATGGAGAGTATTAAAAGGATGTGATGAGGAGGTAAGGAAACTGACTGACTTATACCTGCTGGTGAGGTGACAGTGACATGGGAACAAGGTGAGTCTAATCAACAGAATGCACTACAGCATAGGTGGGACATTAACTGAGCTATGAGAAAATGACTAACAAACACAGAAATGATTACACAGGGATTCAAAAGACTAACACCAAAATATGAATCTAACCCAATACACAAAGTATCGAACTGATGTAAGGACCAAAGGACTTAAAACAACAGGCTGAACATAGAACAACAAAAGCCAAAACAAATCATAGCCCAAAATAATCCAAATACAAAACCCATGTAACAATCAAAATATAAAGACCAATGGTTCGTGACACAACCATCTTTAATGGCTGGTATGATGGTCTTTTTCTAAAATGTTGTGTTAATATTGGCACCAGATCTAACCTGGTGCACAGCTTCAAAAATGTTTGTATTGTCCACCAACAGAATGTCTTCTCAAAAGTCTTGGAGC